AGAAATATATCGTTCTGCAAACAACATGTCTAATAAAAATCAGCAATATCCGAATACTCAAAATCTAGAATCTGAACCTTAGGATGAGATTGAAAAGAATTGTGATGGCTCAAAGCTAGACCCTATAGTTTCTACAGGCCAAATTCGATCAGAACGTCAGCAATTGGCAACTCAACGTCGAATAACAAATACTAAACGAGTTCGGATTTTAGAGCAAAAATCTGTAGAAAGAGGAGATAGGCGGTCAGGAAGAGAACGAAAACCGACATCCAAATCTTTTGAAATGCAAAACTGTTAAAGTATCAGTCACTGAGCCTCAGAATACATGTGACTTGATTTGTAAGCTGGGCTAAACTAGGGTCTATAGAATGTATAGTAAATGTAGAACTTAGTAGTTAGTACAATAATATACGCAATAAGCTTTAGGCATTTACCAGCAGTACAGTTTTCTAACCATATCTTCCTTCAACAAAAACCCTCGGCAAAGATCTAATGCGGCTATTGAGCAAGCTTTTTCTGTAGCTCAAGATGAGCACATTGATGTTCCCGCGTCATATGATGATGCACTCCGCAGTAAAGATGCAGAAAAATGGGTAGAGGCATACAAATCTGAAATGAATTCACTTGTGAACCACGGAAAATTTTCAGTTCCTTTAGGCAGTGTTCCAGCTGGTAAAAATATTGTCACGGCGAAAATTGTATTGGATCTGAAATTAGGGGAGGACAATGAAATCTTGCGATATAAAGCTCGACTAGTGGCCCGAGGATTCTCACAGAAACATGGTATAGATTTTGTGGAAACTTTTGCACCAACTATTAGACTTGATGCCGTGCGCATTATACTAGCTATTGCTGCCAGGGAAAATTGGGAAGTGTACCAGATGGATGTTGTCACCGCATTCTTAGCAGGGGAGCTAGATGAAGAAGTTTATCTAAAAATACCAGATCACATGGTCAAGCGTTTTGGAAGGTATGTTAGTGTTCTGAAGAGCTTGTATGGCTTAAAATAGGCTGCACGTGTGTGGTACCTACTGTTGTCAGGTTTTCTACTTTCAATTGGCTTTTCGTACATTCCAACAGATCAGACATTCTTCACAAAAGAAGAGATGAAAATAGTGATTGGTATCCATGTAGATGATTTATAGATCACTGGGCCATGCGAAAAAGAGATTGTGCGGATCAAAGATCTACTGAAAGGGAGATTTGAAATGAAAGACCTAGGTTAGGCTAAAAACATTCTTGGAATTCGCATCACACGAACTGGGGGTCAAATAAAAATAGACCAGTCTAAATATGCGAAAACCATTGTCAGGGATTTTTCCAACGCAGGCGCTAAGATATACTCGACCCCAATGGCAAGTGATGCAGGAGGTGAATTGGAGCGTACACCTGGAAGAGTCTGTACTGAGGAAGACTTGAATAATTATTGGAAACAACTAGGAAAGCTTATGTATCTGTGTAATACCAGACCAGATATCATATTTTCAACCCACGAGATGGCACAGTATTCACATAAAGCATACCGAAATCACTGGTTAGCACTACCAAGGATCCTGAGTTACATCGAAGGCACTATATACCACAGAATAATATATGGAAAAGCGACTGATGATATCCCTTATTATAAGGTTGACCATAACATCGAAGTTTATTGCGGAAGTTCTAGAGCCAACGATCTGATCACCTTTGCTGATAAAGCCTATGCTGGTGATCTGAGCGAACGAAAATCAATCATAGGTGTTATTATGATGCTCAATGGAGGAGCTGTTGCAGCCATCAATAAGAAGCGAACTAGTGTTGCCACATCATCTATAAATGTAGAATGTATAGCTGCAAGCGAGGGAGCAAAGCTCGCGATCTGGAGAGGAAAGTGTTAGAAATTGTCAAGGATGTCTAGGAGGAAATATCTCGAAGAACAAGTGTACAATTTCGGACAAGAATTTATTGATAGTTGTATGTGATATCGAATTCTCTTCTCAATGTGAATTAATAAGATATAATATTTCGATTACTTAGTTTAACATATACAAATAAGCCAATCCTTAAATACAGATTCCCGAGGCTTTAGTGATCCCGAACTCCCAGTGATCTAGCTACAACCAGCCAGTCAATTACCGCAAGGTAGCATTTCATAGCCACTGTATTTCAGATACTACTGAACCTCGTTTCCCCTAGCTGAGCTTAGTCGTATGCAATAGAAACAAGTAAATTGATCTTGACGATCAAACTAGAAATCTAAACCTTCATACATACGAAGTCTAGTTTTCCTACAGAAAGCTCATATCCCAAATCACAGGTAGACTAGAGGGACCAGTACCACTGCTGCTAGGAGTTAATAAGGCATGCATCCAGCTTCAAGGGGGAATATCAAATTCTTCCAAAATTAAACGTGTTGATGTAGCCTTCCACCATATCGTTGATAAAGTAGGAAAAGGAAGACTGGAGAGCCGCTGGATTAGTGGGGACAACATGCTAGCAGATGGATTAACCAAACCTCTACCGGGGCCAGCATTCAAGGAGAAGAGAGCCGCAATAGGAGTGGTAGAAAACTTCATATAGGACCAGCAGGGATTTATTTCTTTATTTATAATACTTAACGTCGTGCCCGCGCACAGCTTGTGAGCTCCTCACGTCCCGGTTAGCCCAGTCTAAATAAAACTACCCGACGTGTTGGAGGGCAAGACTGAACACCTGTACGCGGTGTCCTCTACGAACCTGGGAGTGAAATATTCTCCCAGAGCCAAGTTCAGTCAAATTTCGCAATATCAAAGAAGTTGGCCCACGAGGCAAAAATCCAAATTACTCATCCACTTCGTTATTTCGCTCCCAACGAGTTTGACCCCTATCTTCGTCTTATCGAGTCTACAAGTACGACCAAGTATATCCTCATTCCAATGACCACACCACTCTTCGACCTTCTCTGGCCTCAGCTGGTCACCAATTACACGCCCACGCCGATATTTATACCCGACGGAGGAAGCAAAGCGTGGCGCACAAATCTGGGAGACAGTTCTTTGGGATGGACGTGAGAGGGATCAGGACAAGTTTACAAGATGATGCAAAGGAAGGATACAACACGAAGGGCATGAAATTCCGAATTTTGACAAGGAGTTTTACGAATTGGGCTTTGTGCGCGCCAACACTTCGCTTGCGAGAGTGTAGCTAACACTATAAAATCAAGCTGACGATGGAAGGTACCGTGGTCCGCCTCCTGGTGGTGTTCTCCGGTATATTCTGAGTAGCATGGGCACCTATCCCACTTGGGAAGGAGACGCCTCAGACCATATTTCGCTCGGAGAAAAGTTGAAAGATGATGGAGGCATGTCCGGGTAACTCAGGGTTTTTGAGACGTTCCCTTGGATGGGTATTCACGGATGAGGGTTGACTTGGGGTGAAGAAAAAGCCACCATAATTTCGCAGTGGTACTTGCAAATGAAATCTGAGGCATGAGTGCTCTTCCTTTACGTTGAATCATCTATTCTGTACTTTTCTTTGATATTGTGTCATAGCTAGATAGCTGCATACGCAATTAAAATCTGATGCAAAAAAAAAATTAATAAATAAATAAATACCCGACGTGTTGGCGCTTACACAGACCCAACAAAGCAGATGATAGCCAGGATCTTATCATCCTGCACTTGAAGATTAAATTATACATGGTTACCGGTCTCCCTTCAACTTTCATGTTTTCAGATTGTATTGAATGAAGAATACATTAAATAAACAATGTGGAAAGGGGGAACTTAGTTTAATCACGTGATTCCCTTTCGGTCAGACTTGTGCTTTTCCAAAGAAATTTATGACACGCACCCAGCTATTAAATGAGTGAACTCCCTCTGCGGAAGCTGGACTAGCAGGGATAAGGGGAGTGTTGTGAAGTAAGATGGTAAGATCACGTGGTGTTGGCGTTGCTCGGACCTTTCACTTATATCTCTGTTGGTCAGGCTAGTATGTAGAAGTAGTCGATCCAATATATACCCATTTAACAAAAGGGAACTTAATGAATTGTTAGTCAGCTATCACCTATTTGGGAGGTTGACTTGTTGATTCACGGTCTATCCCCGCCTTAATTAATAGGCCCTGTTAAATTACAAGATTGTTGGTCAAACATAATTATTCCTGTGCCTGAACATCATGGAGTCATAGTTGTATTTATTACTTACTTAGGAGTATAGAGGGTAAGGCGTTTGGAGATTTTAGATACCCTGTATCAGATGTTCCGTATTAGCGTATAGACGAAACTGGCAGACACATATTGATAGGAGTATGGTCGCAGCATTGAAGGATGCTGCGATCGCGAGAATCATATACGATAGTCTAACTCAATACTTTATCATTTCTACTTCCAGTACCTACGTACCACTCGTAAACAAGAATCTTATTCTAAAAGGCCTTTAGCTTTCTTGGGAGGGAAGGGTATGTCATATGTATAAAATACGCAATTTAAGTTTTTTCTTTGCTATAAATTTGTTTTGTTCGTTCCGAAACACTATCCTCGAGATTTACAAATATGAGTAGTTTCGGGGAATCCCAACACATAAAATTTGATTGATGGAAGTTTTCGGAATGTTCGGGTAGAACGGAAAAGAATCATGGCATGGTCCATAATAGTTATGGAGTTATGTCAGTGAAGTTTTCCTTCTTTCTCGTAATTTTTCGACTTGGTTCGGTTTAAAATTTGTGATATATGTTTATAATGATTTAAGCATATACCAAGAAATAAAAGGCAAATAAAAGTTTCAAAGTATATAAATATCACCAATGTGGATTTGCGCAAATTTTACGATTGAAATGAGGTTATGATTGTTCGGTTTTTCGCAAGAAGTTTTTTAGGTTTCACACTATATTTTATATTGGCCGGCGTCAATACTTTGCAGGTATTCGTTGCTATTTATAACGTCTAGGCGCTGTCTCATCATCCAACATTGATTTATGAGACAGGTTCATTGATGACTAGCAAATTTTAGATAGTTTTGTGTCCTTCTTTTATCCAAGTTATTTTAAGCTATTCGCTTCCCCTTTGCGTTTTTTTTTGGTGTATCAGCGATGATGAGATCTGTGAAGTTGGATTGTCAACTGCTATGCTCTTTGATAAATTTTTTGTGTGGATTGAAGGAATCTGAGCCGTTGTGGAGTTAGATAAACATACTAGGTGGTAATGATTGTTTCAATTTTTCAACTTTTTCCGAGTCTTTCAAGACTAGAGTATATAAATGTCTTTGGCATCGAACTTTGAATTTAGTCTGGGCGCTTTTCTTGTTTCGCTTTATGCGTGCAGCTATTTTCCTGGGCATTAGCTCTCCCTGTAATTGACTCATACTCGATGATTCCTGAGAAACAATCTGATTACAAAGTTTTAAATCTTGAGTTACGTACAGGAAGCATCCTTGCGTCTGCAAATCTCGATGAACTATGAGCTTGTTAGAGATTATTTTTTGTGTTAAGGATTTGAGCAAATTTTTGCGTAGGGTTAGCATGAAAACTTTGCTAAAGGGCTTACCTGCTTGATATCAGAGGTTTCGCGAGGCATCTTTTATTCTGTAAGTATCTTCGGCGAAAATGCGTCTGTCGAAATATTTGTAATTGTACAGGCCGACGGGGTGATTTTGGAATTTGGAGTTTGTGGATGCTCGGTAAGCGCGTACCCTGGTTAACATTGGGCTAACAAGTATGTCGTTGTTTATTAAGCTAAATCCCATAAAGGTTACCGATGAACGCGAAAGTCAGTATTGCTACAACATAGCAAATTATCATTGTAATCATAAACTAAATCCTTACAGAATGGTATATTAGCTTTTGGTAGCATTATTACTGCTGCTGCTGCTTGGACAATAATTTTTCAGGACTTGTTTCCTAGAGGAGCTGACCCTGAGGGCAACCCAAACGACTGGTCTCGAGATGAACTAAGACATTGGCTGAAAAAAGTATGCCTCAAATCTTGTGGTTGAACAGAAAAACTGATGAAATCAGAGAAATCTAGGGTTTAGCAACAAAGACTCAAACGAGAAATTGCTTGAAAAAGTAAATGCCAGCTTCAAAACCCTAGCATAATGAGATATGAATCTTAGGATTCTAGGCCTAGCCAGCTCACAGGATCGACATTATAGAAATAGTTATCATTAAAATATTTTATTACTTTTTTACTATCCAAACATATAGCCATGAAACTTGAAAATAAACTTTTATGCACATCAAAGAACAATATCGGCCTTCTAACACTCTTCTTTAGAACTATTTGCAGTTGTTGTGATGAAGTATTTTTAAACTGTAGACTTAGCAATCCTGGGTAGATACGTATGTTTATTAATTTATTATAACATAGGCACACTCCTCACTCCTGCGAGGGATTGAGCTCCAGTGGATCCAGGGGAGCGAAAGTCAACACCTGTCAGCGGTGTCCCCTACGTAAATCCAGCTCTCACTCTACAGTCTGCAGAGCGGAGATTGAGTAACAATGTCCTCACTTCGATGAGAATCCCCAATCGCTTTTGCACTCTGCATCGTCTTTATCCCTGAGCACAGCCCCCTATCACCATTATCATGAAGCTAACCACGATTAGATCAGATGGTAGGGTCGAAACCCTTCTCATCACCAACTCTTGATCATGGAGAAAAATCCATCCGATAAGTTTCCGGAGCGTACCCAGCACCCGATACGGAGATGGTGGATTAGATCAAGTCGGTCTCGACTGTTACAAAGCGGGGAGATGTAGGTGGATATACGCACCTCATGTGGTCCCGGTGTTTAGGCCTCGCCTTGCTGGGGCTGCAGGTTTTTTGAGACTTTTTCCCGCGCACGCAGTTTCCTTTGCTACCTTTTTCATCGGGTAGAAAGTTTATAGCATTGAAGATTCTACTCATAACTAGATTAAAGTCTCTAGTGAGCCTATGAAAGGTTTCGTCGAAAAGGTGGCTGAATTCCACGGGTAACTACTGAGCTTAATGGCTATTCATTACGGACAATGTATCAGAGATTTTTCAAATAATGAGAGAGGAAAGTAACACTGTAGAAGTTATGGACTGTGATAAAGAGGTGCCCAAATTGCTAGATTGTCGCAGATTCTATTATTATTACTATTTAACGTCGAGATTGTCGTAGATTCGAGTAGCACAATAAACCACAAACGGTCAACAATCACGTTGTTGTCCTCCCAGACCGCGACGCCGAAACTTCCTTAATTGAGCAGATCTTCCCTCAACTTGATTAGAAGACATACTATTACTAAAAGGTCGAGATAAGTGAAATTTTTTCCTCGCCTCAATTATATAAGCATGCTTTCATTGCTTTTGTAATGCCTGTATGCAGCTACCTCCTCCTCTCACACCACAGCCCATGGCCTTGATACAGAAAGTAAATTCGCAAGGGAATAAATTCTAGTTAAGGCTAAGAAACTGCTGTGGGATGAAGTCAAATTAACATGTTGTGTTAAGGACGTTAGGTGTTTCGTGACCGGCGCCCGGAATGTTCTAACGAGCTTGCGGTTAAAGAGCTTCTATCTACTCACCGACCAACGGTTTGTCCAACCACTGCATTATTTGCTCAATTAACATTAAGATTCACAGGGTCTAAAATGGGCGTGAACGAGCAGGGAAAACCAATAATAAGATCTCGATCGGCTCCACCGGTCCTACATCTATATAGATATTAAGTTTCGGCCCAGTATTTAAAGCTAAATAATTGAATGTATTCTTACATCGCACAAAACATTCGTTAATCCTAACTTTACCAGATCCATAGATTTCTCGAAATACTCGAAGTGTCATTGGATAACTTCATTAGCTCCACAGATGCTGATTTTATAAGCTAATGATCTAGTCTTAGATCCAACGACACAATAACCCTAGCTATCTATGACTCTACGTCGACCAGCTGATTCGTGAATCTCTAAAATCTTGGTAAGAAGCGAGTGACCCCCAAACAGTACTTTGAGAGCTGCAGAGGTAGAGGGTGAAGATCCAACAACACCAACTCCGGACAAAGCAAGCTTTGAGTAGCTGGTTACGAAATTGATTATATTAGAATTAAAAACAGGCGTTATTTAATGCATACCAGATTCTTTTTGAAGCTGATGACCCAATTCTCTACTAAGGAAAAAAGGAACATTCGTCGATTCCAAAAAGATTTTTATGATATTAGTCTAAATGTCTGGCTTAATATAAGCCATTTCCTAGTAGTACCCTTTGCAATTTTTGATTCTCTAGATCCTTTATTTGGAACTAGAACTATGCTTTCGGTAAATCCCCTTGTATCTCCCTCTTCTCCCTCCATCCAGTATCTAACACTGCCGCTGACCATTACAGTGATACTAATTTTTTTTCCATCTTTATCTGGCCCCAAAGATTCCTCTTGGCCGAAATTGTAATTCGAATTTAAAACGTGCGCATCATAAGACTGAATATCGTAGTGAGCTCTTCGAACTTGAGTTTCAAAGAGTTTTTGTAGATCGTTTGGCGTAGGTATGATATGACCATTAATAGTGATATCTGGCTTGGCTGATGAAGCATTGGCAGGATTAACGTAAAAGCTAGCGAGCTCAAGCCGGCCTTTGCTGTTATTCAGAGCTGGGTAATATGTCTCGACGAAGTTCTGAGCGCCCATAAAAAATTTAGTAAAAAGTCCGATCGGTAAGTTTTTGACATACTAGCAGTTGCAACCTTAACCTTCACATCTTCACCAGGCTCCGCCATCAAGTACAATGGTTGTGATCACAATCACTTGTAAGTTGGTAAATTAAGGAAGTGGTTGATCGTGGTATTCCATGCAACAGAAAATTGCCTGAGGCGAGTGTTCAGGGATCTAACTGTTGCTTAACTTGATCGAAAGATATATAGCCTTAATAAAGTACGTTCAAATGCGCGCACAAATTACCGATTATTTTAACATTTATCCCACAAAATTATAGATGGTGTTTTATGCTAATCATCATTTAGAAATAGATACATGCCGCAAAATTCTCTTATACTTTTGGAAGTGCCGTGAATAGTGAACCGTCACGTGAACGAAATAAAGTGTGGCAAGAAAGCCGAGAGGACAAGGAAAACCCCATGTAGTCTAGGTTAAGGGCCTCTATTTAATTATCGTGCATTTTGATCAAATTGGATCCTTACACCCTTACTCCTCAACAGGTTCAGTTAACAATTGATTTGAAAATCAAATGAATTCTTTTGTCCTTCTCAGTAATCGAAACCAAACCTTAAAACTTTGTCTACAATCTCATAATCATAATACATGTGAATCATGAATCTACGTATCGCTTCGAACCTCGCGCGAAATGCTCCTTCCTTCGTTAAAAATAGGTTCGGTCCGTACTTGATCTATCGAAATATCAGTAGAAGTTATCCATTACTCTCTTCCCCACCTAACTGCTTTCCAAAACCATTCTATGTTACCACCCCAATATTTTATGTCAATGATGGTAAACTATGGTATACTAATAAAAGCTCCTAACTAAAATACTTGCAGCACCTCACATTGGCCACCTCTATACGATGATTCTCGCGGACATATTCAAAAGATGGAATATCCTAAAAGGAAACGCTGCGATTTTGTGCACAGGTACAGACGAACATGGAATGAAAGTACAGCAAGCAGCTAGTAGAGCTGGAGCTCTCCCAAAGGAATTTTGTGATTCAATGTCTGAAACATTCAAAGTATTGGCCGAGAAAGCAAAGATAACAAACGACCATTTTATCAGAACAACAGACCCTGTTCACACCAACGCAGTGCAGTATTTCTGGACCATCTTGAAAGATAAAGGCTTAATATACGAATCTAAACATGAAGGCTGGTACTGTATCAGTGATGAGACATTTTATCCAGAAAATACGATAGAGAAGCGAATAGATCCACTTACTGGAAGAACCTTTATGGCATCACAAGAAACCGGAAAAGAAGTCGAATGGACTTCCGAGAGGAATTATCACTTTCGACTGTCTAGTTTCAAAGAGCCACTTTTAGAGTTCTACAAAAGTAATCCAAATTTCATAGTTCCGGCGGAAAGAATGAAAGAAGTCGTGGCTGCCGTTTCTACTGGGCTACAGGATCTGTCCATCTCTAGGCCAACTGATAGACTCAACTGGGGCGTGCGGGTTCCGGACGATGAGAGTCAGTGCATTTATGTATGGCTCGACGCCCTTGTCAATTACATCACCGCGGCCAAATTTCCTTGGCCACCAAAACACCAACAGATCGGAGGATGGCCTGCAAATCTACATGTGATCGGAAAAGATATAACTAGGTTTCATTGTATATATTGGCCTGCGTTCCTACTTGCGGCCGGTCTTAAACCACCAAAACAAATCTTAACGCATGCTCATTGGACGCTAGGGAAACAAAAAATGGCTAAGTCAACTGGAAATACAGTTAATCCTTTTTTCGCTATGGATAGATTCGGAGTAGATGTAATTCGTTATTATCTCGCCCATGACGGAGGTATTCTGAACGACTCTGACTACGGAAATCAAAACGTCGTCGTAAGGTACAAAAAAGATCTTGAAGGTGGGATAGGCAATCTTTTGTTCCGTCTAACACGGCCTCTGGCTTGGAATGTACGGTATTGTGTTAAAAAATTTGAGAACAAAACAATTGGCTCTCACTTGCGACTGGAATACGCCGAAAGTATGGAACAAAAACAATTACTACAAGAACTCTTCGGCAAAGTAAGCATAGAAATGGAGAAACTTAGCGTTAAAGATGCATTACGACATATTATGAACGTTGTTTACAATGTAAGCGAGTCATTCATCACCAGATCAATGACAAACTGACTTATCAATAGACAAACACTTACTTCCAGCAAACCAAGCCTTGGGAGCTTGTAAAATCTCAGACATCTCTAGGAGAGCTTGAAAAATCAGTTGAGGCCTCAAAGAATGTTGTCGAAATCATTTACCTTTGCGCTGAAGCTCTACGAATAGTTGGTATTCTTATGCAGGCATATATGCCCGACAAGGCGAAGGAATTACTCGACATTCTACATGTGGATGTAGAAAGACGTTCAATCAAGTTCGCAAAGTTTGGGAAAGACTTCACATATGGAAATACAGAGCCAACAAAAAAGAGTCAAATGCTGTTTCCTCCACTACCAGTAGAAAATTAAGAAAGAACTCTTAGTATTGACACTGGTGTTTCATCGTCTTCCTGAATCATCTGTTAACGTAAGCTGAGAACAATACTGCCAAGAATCAAGTAAAAAACATTTTATCTTTGCCAAATGACGCAAGATTTTAGGGTTACACTTGCATATAAACACTTTAACGGAAAATGTGGCACAGTAATTCACAAAAGATACCCCTCACAGCTTGAATCTGTGCTTCAACATTATCTGCTCTCTGCATGAACTTCCTGCCGATCTCAGAACCCATAAAAGTGAACACATTCTGGAAACATAGTAGTGCCAATGATGGATGAAACTTCTAGGTGGTTAAACAAATTGGAACTAAAGAATACTTAACAGAATAGGCCTGCCTCGTTATGATCACCTAGGAGAGCTTTTCCGTCGCTCAAATGTTGAAATATAAGACTTGCCAGGAGACAAATCTTCCATAGCCCCGAACAATGGAAGAAAAAATACTTTGCGTAAGCCGTTAGATCTTACGTACAAATTGTCGAATCAAACCAAGTAAAACCAAAGTTTCTCAACCGGCAATGATCGATAATAGGTAACAGATTACCAGCTCTCATTTTCTAGTGTGATGGGCAAGGAATACACTCATTAGCCTTCAAGAAGACTACAGTGATCATTCTCCCGATATCAGGAAACTGAGATCTATCCCTCCTGAAGCTTTACAGACTGTTTCCTCTCAGGCCTAGGTAAAGGCCTTCAACAAAGCATAGTATAGCGAATTTTGTCCCAACTCTGAAGTATCGAGTACTTACTAAAGACCAAAGCGTTACAATTCCTCTTCGCGTCACTATTTAACTTTCCACAGCTTACGCTTACGATGTAAAGGTAAAATTGATGTGCGAGAAAATAGCTTGTACAGGTACTAACAATGCTTAGAGCGGTACGTGATGGTATGTAAAAATTGCGCCTGAACTAAACACTCAGAAGCCAAGGATGGGCATTAAATGTAGTTCAATGGCTAGTATTGTTCATAGAACAGTGGGAATCTACCACCTCCATTGAAAAAATGCAGCTCCGCCCTTTTAGCATCAGTGTTGTCTTTTACAAGGCCCACCAGTCTCGCAAATTCCTTTTGTTTAGGATATTAAGAGGATTTACGTCTCCAAAGGGCCCTTCGACCAAGCTAATAAAATCGATATTTTTGTATCTATGCTCTCCCTCATTGAATATCCAGATGAACTTCAGGAGAAACTACAGAGTACTTTATCACACAATCTATGTAACTAAAATTATTTCGATCTTCCTGATCCTGACTTGTAATACCTCTTCTGCAAGTAAGGCTTACCAATAGAGCCCAACCTTCGTATCAGAAAGATAAACATTGCGACTACTTGTTAGGGTTATTGGCTTGAAATCTTTTCCAGTCGTGGCCTCCGGTTCCAATACAATAACTTACAGGTTTTCCGAAAATCTCTAGTTATCACAAGCTATTTGGAAGGACTCTAGACTACTAGTACAGAAGCTATCTCCCTTTTTTAAAAGAAGATACCAAGCTGGTAACTTTACAAATCTATCCTAAAAAGCCGAAATGAGATACTCTAAAGAGACTTCTCCAAAATGTGATATATTTGGCCATGTGTTTTAGTTATCAGCCCGCGCCATCCCTTAAGAGTCAAGTAAAAAAATCGTATTAATTGTAAAGAAGCAATTTCTCCCAAGAAGTAACCTCAAATACCTAAAGTATCATCGTTGGACTAGCAGTCAACTGTCGAAGGGTAAATCAATCTTCAGACAGAGCTCGCTAGCAGCAGCCGCCTCGAGCAATCTTTATAATATCGAAAAGCTACTGATTACTTAGCAGCTAACGCCCGTTTCAATCGAGGGCCTGACTAACAATTAATTTTTCCCAGCCCAACAAGATCACCCTACACTGCAGCATCTACACTATCTCAAGATGGGATATGATAGGTGTGTTAGGATAAAGGTCACAGGTAAGGTTGACGAGGTCTAATCTGGTGATTGAAATTGTCTACAAAGAGGAAAGGTGACTCAAATTGAGTCTTTTTTTATTATTTTTTATTATTATTTAGGGTTGTGCTAGCTCACAATACAACCAATTTTTTGAAATTTGAATTTTCGAATTTTCACCTTTATGCCCCTCTCCCTCCCTCTCGCGCTCGTCGCATTCCTTCAATAAATTGTAATCAAGTCGCTGGCATTTTCATCATGCTACCTGTTCGAAAAAAAGCTCCCCAACGCAATGTTGGATAACGCGAGAGTCCGCCCGAGGGCTCCCGCAAAAACACCAGGTCTCGCTCAAAAACTTTCAAGCATGTTTGCGAGTGAGGCCTTCATCGAAGGGAAGTCTCCAAACCTTCCCGATAAAGAGATGACTGATTCTGAGCCCGTCAGGTCAGAAAAAACTGGTCCCAAGGCCAACATTCCCATCGAGCTTGCCCCGGAGGCAAGCACTTCATGGAAAGGAAAGGAAGTCGTCCGAGAGAAGACGACAGAACAAGCAGAAACATCTGCAAGAAAATACACTGTGCCAGCTCCAAAAGGCACAGCTTCGACATCAGCACCGGAATATCCTCCAGAGCTGCAATCAGTTATGGAGGCCGAGAAGCTTCGCACGACGCAAATCAAGGCCCGTTTATCAATCTGTTCCACCGCAACAAGCAGTGTTGAAGCAGCACTTTCGCCTTTCTCGGTTGGCGACGAAAAATAGTTTGTAGACGGCATCAAAGTCTACCTTCGAGCGCCCATTGGCCAGTTCATACAATCAGGCCCAGGGAGCATTCAAACAGCTCTCCCTGTACGCCCCAGCAACCCTCCTCCACCGAGGGATCATGAAATTAGGGTACCTAACCCTTCGACAACCAACGCTCCGGCCCAAAAGAAAACTTAGGCGAATGTAGCTCGAGCAGGCCTTGGCCACAGCACTGGGCCATCAACAAAAAAGGCAGCCCCGCCCGCTCTAAAAGCAAAGGGAGCCAATACGAGGATAGCGGTCGATATGCGACTGTTTCTACGCCTCGGTTACGACCATCCCCACCGACTCCTCGCACCAGCTGGCATAAGATCAGCTGTCTCAGAGGCACTCGGTACCGCAGCCAACAACGTCACGTTGGTTCAGCAGGTCAAAACAGGCTTTGCTCTAACAGCAAAGGATGAAATCGCTCGGAAAGAGCTCCTTGATTCCTCCGTAGAACAGAGAGAATCTGGAATTAAATTGGAACCAGCGTCAAATCTGGTTGCCCTTCATATTGTCACCGTCCCGCTGAGAATTAATACACTCACAGGTTCCGTTCTTACTACGGAAAAGACGGTCGCCGATGAAGTCACGCGAGTGACCAAATCAGTTCCTTTTCTTGTTCGTCCTCATGTGTTACGGTTTGACCGTGGTTTAGCTTAGGTGGAGACCTAAGCGGAATTTGGGGGCGTATTAGGGAGTGTGTTTCGTATTATCTTGTATCAAGCGACTAAGTTTCACTTGGCTACATTACATTGGAGCTAGGAAGGAATGTGTGACGGCGAAGTAGAATTGCCAAGTGAGAGAGTCAGCTAGATGGCAAAGATGGTGACGGGCAGTGGCGGAACAATATGATTCTCACCAACGGAGTACGTACTGGATGAGCTAAAAGGATGTACAAATAGTCATTATCCGTAGTTGTGGTACTTCTCTCTTCATATAGTTTAATCTTTCTAAAAGTACACTACAACCAGCTTGGTTTCGTCACATCATTGCACCAGCAAACCCGGGGCGCCATACCAGAGCCGGTAAGCGCTTTTCCCTCGAGAATCCACACCTCGACCTGGATTTCGCCTCTTCGATGACTCTGGAGCTGCAAAGCTCTTCCAACCTCGTCGAAATATAGTTCAGTGCAAACGATATCTTGGCTTCCATGCCTCACGGGGTTGCTCCCGCGCTCCGGCTTGCTGGAACTGCGCGTCAAAAATGCATTCTGAAACGGAGTGTAAAGCCCCCACACGGTGTCGAAATTGCGATAGACCTCATCGATCGGACTCGCGGTACTGCAAAGCCAGAACCAGCAAGTTCGGCCCGGTGAAAAAAGAGCAGCTTGCATTAATTCGCAAAGCCAAGTAGAAAAATCCTGCCGATTATGCTCGAATGAAAGCTGCAGCTAAAATAGCCATTCAGGCGATTCACAGCGCGAAGAATGACGTCTAGATGTCGGACGGATCGGGTTTTGGGATTCTGGGATCCGAAGAGGAGGTTTAAGGTTACGGCCAGCCTCAGTGAAGTCGTCGAGGCTTCAATACTCTAACAGTAGGACAACAGATGGGGAAAGGGTGCCTGCGAGCTCATCTTCTGCTCTCAGCGAAGGTCAGAAAGTGTCACTTGGAAGATGTGACAGGAAAGGGAACGGGCGAGAAGCGCGGGATCCGGACCTACAGGGATTTTTCTAAATTTGATTTCTGATTTTAGTTTTTGTTTTTTGTTTTGCTGTTAACACCACCATTTATGTGGAAGTTCACGCGGTTGGAATGAGTTGGGCCTGTATACAGTGATCCTTACCGGCTCCACCTGTCCTTGACCCAATGTGGACAAAATAGCTTTAGCTTAGGACAAAATAAACAAAACAAACAACCAATTTTTTGAAATTCGAATTTTCGAATCTTCACCTTTTCCCCCTCTCCCTCCCTTTCGCGTTCGTCGCATTCTATCAAATTATTGTGATCGAGTCACAGGCATTTTCACCATGCCACCTGTTTGTAAAAAGCGTCCCAACGCCAGGTTGGACAACACGAGAGTCTGCTCGAGGGCTCTCTCAAAACTTCCTGGCCTTGCCCAGTCTTCTAAATGCGCGGAGATGGGTCTGGCCGTTTCGAAAGGGAAGGAAAAAGCCCTTCCCAGCGTCAACAAGCCTGATACTGATATGATCGGGTCAGTCGAAATTGTTGAGGAAATTCCTCAATGAGCCTCCGTCCCCCACGGGATTGGAGAATCGTCCAAACCTCCTCCGACCACCTCAAAACCGTCGGAAAACGCTGCACCTATAGCAGCGTCA